CTAAAATTCTGATTTTTTTTACTTTTTTTTGTTAAGACTAAGTAATAAATATAATACTGAAAATAAGCTGTGATAGAATACATGATCAATTGATGATCGATCCAATCAATGCACCAATTGTGATTAATCCAAAAACCAGAAGTAAATACTCAAAATCATGTATAAGGTAACTAGGTTTTAGAATGATGTGATTGAATTGGCAAACTGAAGGTAGTATTAAGAAAAGAGAAAAATAATGTTAGGCAACAAAGTCTTGAAATGGATATATGATAAAACTTGTTAAATAAAACCTAGATGTAATGGGGTTGTAGGAAATAGTAAGAGAGTAGAAGAGAATTTAGTAGATTTGAAAAACTTTAATATATTTGTCTAAGTCAATCCATGCCTTCATCAGATAAAGCCCTGTTCTGTCTGCTTCAGCGAGTAAATTATTATTGGTATTCTTAATTAAGCTATTATAGAAAATTAAGTAGAGAGAGTTATGAAATAATTAGAAAGAATGTTTATTTTCTAAGGACAAAGCTTTTTTCTTTTGAACAAAAGACAACTGAAATGTTTGATTTGAATTAGAAAGAATGAAAGTATTCAATTTTCAAGTGTAGAACTCTATAATAAAATTTAATGATAGCTGATTTTTTAATAAAAGAAGCTTTCATATGACACTACTACAGGAGTGCTTTTTTGTAGATCAAAGTTCACTTTTTTCTATTGAATAGTACAAATAGATTAGTGTTAATGACATTATCAAAATTTAAATTAGAAATTAGCGTATAGGCCAAAATTTTGGTGAATATTGTGATTACCATACTGAATAATAAAAATATATTATGCAGTGTCACTATATCAAAATACTAATAAGCAAGTATACAATTAACCAATAAAATACAAACAAAATGTTTAATTTTATTATGTTTTTTATAAGCTGCTTCATGATGGTTTCATAAGCAATTTATAACTCAAAACATTTTATATAATTAATTTTATTATAGTTTTAATATTTGATACTGGCAATTTCACAACATTATATAACCAATTAGATTAAAAGTTATGAATTACAGCATCTTTTATTTTTAATAATTACTAAAATTAAAAATATCTGCCATACGGTCATGTTTACACAACAAAATTTTGCAAGGAGTATTAACTAGAATACAAAAATGAGTTTTATATGATTAATTTTTATTTTCTATTTTTACAATTTTGGTTGCACCACTAATCTGAATATATTAATATCTAGCAATGCAACTGCATAGTTATTGGCATCTCTTAAATATATACTAGATTAATGGTATGAGAATTAGTAATAGATTTTTTGCAGTAGAGCTAGTGAAATTTATCTAGTATTTCACCTTCATAAATTGTTCATTTTTTGCATTTTGCAGATCTTATGCTTCATTAAATTATCTAGAGAATCTCTCTAAAAAACTGGTCACAAAGTAACAAAAACTTAGTTCACTTTTGTTAATAATTGAGATTAAAATTTTATAACTAATCAACATGAAATAATATCTTGCTAGTTTTACTTAGTTGTATTCATCCTTTTTCAGCTACATTTACTTGCGTTTAGTGGTTAGTTGCTACCAATAGAATATTTTTGAAAATATCATAATTTATTTTTTTTATTTTTTTTATTTTTTTTGCCATATACATGATATTAGTTACAATTCTTGTATTAAGGTGATACTATTCTAACTATTTATTTATCTTGTATAACTGTTTTCACATAGCAAATCACTCTTTATTTTTTATTAAGGAACTAATTTAAATTACAACTAGTTATAGTAAGGGAAGGGAATACCCAACTAGTGCTCTCTGTTGTTGCTTGTTACCTAACAGATGACCTAGTTTCTTTGGGCTATACAACAGATAGAATGGCGGACCCATTCTATAGGTGAACCTGGCAGCTATTGATTAGCTACAGGAGGATTCTTCATCAGATAAATTCTATATCTTTATGAGCAGGTTATACCACTTCTAGAACCACCTGCCCTTATGGAGTTCACCTAGGCACTTAAGACTGCATGCACTACCTCTCCACTTAGGTCTTGCCAAATGGGCATCAATCTTGCCAAAGTTGCCAGGAATTATCTGACCATAAGGACTTATCTTGGGTTTGTACTGCTCTTTGCCAGCTTATATGCCTTTGTATAACTTGTGCATTATATGAACATCCTATGGGTCCTCCCAATTTGGTTAAATTGGTGAATACCAGATTACAGAACTGAGCCCCAACTTTGATGAGCACTGTGCATAACACAGCCCTAATAGGAAAGATCTTAGCTGTATATAGATAGAAATTCGAAGATTCGCCTTCAATAGGATTTGAACCCTAGACATGCTGTTTGAGGGTGACAACTTAACCACTTCACTAAGTTGCCAAACCCCAATATCATAATTTATATTCTATTTAAATTGTAATTTTATTTGTCATTATTATTATGTGCATTACATCATGACATATAATCTCTAATTTACTAATTTCTGTGCCTTCAACCTAGTATACAAATTTTTTTTTTAATAATGAAATGCAAAGATATTTCTAAAACATGAAAATCTGTTATATGTGTTTGCAAAAAATGTAAAGAGAAGAAGAAAGTAGATCCAAGAACTAAAAAACATTTAAAAATATATAGGTTTTATTAACTCACAATATCAACGTCAATGGTGTCCCAAACTTCATTAGAATTATTAAAACAATTATTTGATAATAATATTGATAATAATAAAATAGAAGGCACTGAAATAGATTTTTCAGATATTTTACCCAATCCTTCTCTTTCAGATATTCTGTCTGATTCTTCTCTTGCAGATATTCTGCCCAATCCTTCTCTTTCAGATATTTCACCCAATCCTTCTTTTCTTGTAAAGAAAAATAATAAAACAAGAAGTAATTTAATACCTAAAATTAACAAAGTAAAAGAAAATTTTTAGTAGAGACTTGGCTTTACATATTGAAGAATCTGATAGTATTTCAAGTGAAGCGGAAATAGAATCGTTTGATTCTGATTACGATGAAGAATTAGAACTATTTGACTATAATATAGATAATGAAGAGGATGAATATCAAAATTTTAGAGACAATCAAATATTTGCTGTGCCTAATATTTCTGATGATATATTAACCAAAACAAATAATGATAATATCAAAAAAAAGGGTTAAATAGATAATTATTTAGATACTTCACTATCAGTAAAACTATCAGCATTCTGAAGTTGCTACAAGTGTTTTATTTAAGTTTATAAGGTACCTGTTGATTTCAATTGATCAAAAACAATTTAAATTTTTTTACTGTCGATTAATTTAGCATGAAAGGCATTAGAAATATGTCTTTATAT